TCATCTCAACTCCTCTTTCAATATTACTTACAAAGTATGTTGTACTATCGAGATCCTTTTCATTACTTATTACCATTTATCGTTCTTTTTTGAAAACACTTACATTAAGTGGATATTAGCGATAACGTAAATGTATTTCTTTTTTATTGAGTGCATTATAAGGAAATGATTCTCGTTCAGTATTGAGGGTTTTTTTTACATATTTAATAAGTTCTTCATTTATCATTATTGATTGCTTATCAGCCCAATAAGAATGCTATTTTTATACTTTATCCCAGTGTCATTGATTAATTCTTATTCATTTATAAGCTAATGAAAGAAATTAAGTACCGATAAATATATATATATATATATGTGTGTGTGTATGCATTTATTTATTGATTGAGTTGATCAAACTTACTCTAGATATAGATATATATCTAATTCTTTCGGAGAGATAGATAGATTGCAAATAATCTTAGAGATAGGTAAGAAAATGAAAAAAATCTGTTGCTCATTATATGATACTGCTTTCCTTATTTCTTTTGAAAGATTTATTTGAAACGCGTACTGAAACTTTATTCTCTGTATCTGATTTTTATTTATCCTTTTTATTTCAATCCGTTGCACTATTCATAGGGGTAAATTCAGAGGTACAAAGCACTATGCTTTCCAAGGGTCCTTGGGGCTCTCCATATAGGTTTGAGGGCCCCTCACACCATGTATCCGTAGCATATCAATTTTGGCGTTCTACAAACTTGAGATGCCTATGGAGGTCACCCTTGATGTGCGCTTTCACACAGCATTTGATCTCAACTCAACGTCAGCACTCTGAGTTATTTCTTCCTTCTCACTCCGAAAGGAACTCAAACATCTTCAAAAATATTTTATCGCCCTACAGGGAATGTGTAAGCACCCTTTTGGATACGGATCTTGTCCCGCATGCGGAAAACATAGCGCCTGGTTTGTTTTACTGCCCTATGTCAGAGGACATGTGGTATTACGAATTCCCCACGTCCCAGACGACATTCTCCTCCGCCCCCTCGCATGATCTTCCACAACGCAAGGAAGACGAGGCTCTTCCTATTTTGCCGACTTTGAAGCTGAAGCAATCCCAAGCTGGAATTAAAGAAACCAATGGTATTATAGACTCGCAAAAAGCTCGAATGAATAACGAAGTTCAGCCGCTTGGTAATTGTGTGGATAGGTTTTACGTCTCGCCTCTGTGTGAGGCGATGGGTTGTCTATGGCAGTGGCGGGCAGTATGGTGCGCGCGGACTCCTAATCCGGAACCCCCCATTGTGCCCCCCTCCATGCACAGAAAGAAATCTAAAAACAGGGGTTGTGAAAATTTGAATTCCACAACTGACAAGATCATCAATTCTCCTCCGGTCAAGAAAATAAATAAGGGGTATTCTAATGACCTGAACAGGGAAGGTGAAAGCGAAAATAGCGGGATACACAACCATGGGGGCACGCGAAGGGATTCAGGGGGGTACTGTATGCTGCCTTTCCTTATTTTACCATCAAGTGGGGTGTTGGGTTCGGGCTATCCTCTACATCTTAACCCCGCCGTGGTATCGCACTTACTTTATAATACGTCCAGCTGGGTCTTTCAAACAAGATCTCACAAGGAACTCGCACAAGAGAATGTGCCTGACAAAATTACTACAAGTAAGCCAATTTATATCACAATTCCCTCTCTGGTTGGAAACATTATTATCAAGCTTGACGATCCCACGCCGTGGTGCGGGGCCAATAAGCCACAACTAAGACCCTACCACCACGCTACTTCCTTCTGGAATGATAAGAACTCAGGTAAGACAATCTTCCAAGTCTTTTCCCCAGAACGGCAGCGCACTGTGGATAATATCTTCAACCTCTTGACCCCTGCAGATTCGTGGAGGGGCCGATCCGATGCGTCTTCTCTTCAGGAAGTATCTCACGACCCTTCATGTATACAAACTCTATCTACAGATAACAACACACCATCGGATTCATCACAGATTTTATCGCAGCTGTGTAGCAGCGATTATACTATTCCGCATTCAGAAACGACATCATTTGTCTCAAACGATACTATGGAACTATCGAAACTTTTTAAAAGAGATTCTAAGCTTACTTCCTCAACCTCAGAGGTTAAACTACCTCTGGCATATCGAAATCTTATCAACGGTGGTCTTGCCGAACTCATCCTAGCGGTAGACTGCTATGCTGCTCTAATTGCTCGAAAGGAGCTGACGGTGGCGTCGGCCTGTTGGGCTATCCTGTGCGATACAAAGCATAGCAATATCCTGTTAAGTTTACGGAATCATGCTCCTGATATCGAGCGGGAGGTCCTTGCGGCGGTAGAGGCGCAAGAACATCTTATGCAAATTTCAAATAGGTGGAATCAAACCTGTGTGGGCAAAAGCTCTTGCGCAGCGACCACGCTGATGGATTACCCCGCTATCGCACACTGGAGCCTCTGATAGCTTGGTGTAGAATTCAGTTTGATGGGGAGCACAAATAATTGAAATAAGAAGTGTTCTGCATAGGGTTTGTTATCTACGCTATTATTTTTGACAATTTTTCTATTCATATAAACCTCATTTTTGTTTAATCAACATATCCATCTATATATTTTTTCATTCACTTCTGTTAAATTAAAGATTACTATAAACAAAAAGATTAATATATATTTATCTTTTAATGCTACTCACATGACGTAAATCTCTGTAACTTGCAATTAATTATCTATTAAAATGTACCCTTAAAAATTCAGACCAAACGTTGTGCGTCAACCACACCCCTTAGAGGGAACCCATTTAACAAGTGAAAAATTGATGTGATTGTTATGATGAACCAAAATCAATATTTTTCCTTGTCTACACGTCCTTGTAAGGCATTTTTTTCCCTTTTCACAATGATACAGAACGAATTGAGTGAGGGGTCTCATCAACCGAGACTTACGAATTTCTTTTATTTATTTATTCTTATTTTCTTCAACACTTCACACTGTTACGTTCAAAAATTCTTTACAATGGCATCTGAAGATATATATGCGGCAAGTGTTTATTTTACCAAGATAATAATGAAGTATAACTTTTGACTCTCTCCTCCTTTCTCCTCTTGAACATATGACATTTTAGTTCGTGTTATCCGTGATTCTTAGAGAATAAATTATAAAAATATTTTTATATAGGGTGGGCAGGGTGAGTTAGTACATTAAATATTTCTAATTTATCATGCCCTCTACTTTTCACGAAAATTCTGCGATCAATACACCCTTTCAGCATCAACGATTAGGTATTGCACGTCTTTTTGTCGGACAGCTTAACTTTGACGCCACCGAAAAGGATGTTCGTCAGATTTTTTCATTTTATGGTGATGTCCTCTACGTTAATACCTTACAGGACCAAAACGGTAAGAACACGGGATCTGCATTTGTGACGTATGCCACTACAGACGAGGCTGACACCGCCATTCAAGCCCTTCATGACCACTATAACATGGGACGTGATAAACCATTACAGGTTTCCTATTGCAGAAGGAGCGATCTAATCTCTTCTTTTGGCTATCAACACGCGTTAGAGATTCGTGACCGAAATAAATCTAACCCACTTCCACCACAACAACGTATACAATGAGAGAGCTCTGTGTGAATAAAAGATGCATAGCGATATAGATATATGGATCTATATTTATATATATCTATACGTGTAAGTGATATATCCTTTAGTGAAAATTGTATGTTTTATTTTCCTGTTGTTATTTTTATTAAGGGAGGAATATTTTTATTAGTATTTGGCTGTTGTTCTCGTTGATTACCTACTTCTTTTTATGAATGGATGAACGTTATATTTTATTCTAATGCTAGCATTGTCCCTGTTAGGGTAAAAAAATTATCTGTGCATGAAGAAGTTCACAATTTTATTATAGTTTTCATTGAGAAGGCTACAAGTTTGTTGCGATAGTTTTTTTTTTATTTTTTCTCTATTTACTTCGATCTCGATTTAAGGCAGAAAATGTTTCTGAGGGGAGGGGAGCTGTCCCTGAGTTGTAGTGTGCATTAGATCTTGAAAAATTTAGGTGACATGCTTCTTTTGAACTCAGTCTATACCCTCTCTGTCCTTTAACATTTCCCTATTCCTCTTTCCCTAGAAATGTCTTTCACATACCAGAAAATATGGGATTAAATAGTAACTAAAAGAAAGTCTTGCAAGATGATCACTGATGTAAAGTAAGTGCACTTAATTTGACTTTGGCGACTTACCACCGCGTATGATCTTTTTTTCTCTTCCGCGTCTGTTTCATCGACCTTCTGGACAACAAGTATAAACATAGCTGTCGAATACCCCTGTTACACTAGATTCTCCATTGAATACTCCTCAAGACCCTGTCTTTCCCTTCCCTTCCCTTCTCCCTCCCCCC